TTGCTGAGGGTGGCATAGGATGAGTGGCTGCCAGCTTCTCTCTCTCTCTCCCCCTCTCTCTGTCTCCTGGAGTGGCACTGTGATGACTCTCGCCTGTTTACTCAGTGACTGGCCCCGGGTGGCACTCTGCTGCTTGAATAGGCAGCTTTTGGGGTCAGGAGGTCAGGAACAAACAGCTGTGTGCAGGGGAGGGGGATATGGTGGAGGGACATCGAGCAGGGAGAAGCAGAGACCCAGCGGAAACCGGCACCGCTTAATCTGGGCCTGCCGTTGGGTGCTGCACCTTTGGGGGATTGTTTGCAACGCGGAATGTTTCTGTTTGCAGGTCGAGCCACACAGACAAAGTGTTACACGGATCGCCTGGGGCAGTGCACGTGTACAAGGGTTCTTTATACTCTATACGAGGGTCAAATTGTGAGAGATACCAGTGGAAAGAAGAGACCTTTTGATTGAATAAATGGAGTTTTTATTGTAAATGAATGCAAAGCTCACACGACTCACTCATGCCGAAGTAATAACAACAGATCAACACACACAGAGCTAGGAAATAGAAAGGTGATCGATAGGGGCAAGAAGGGGGTTGGTTTTAGATCAGGGTAATATTCACCTGATCCCGAAGTCTGGAATCCACGTGGAAGCAGGAGGACATGGCCGACCAGTGGTTCATGTCAAAAGCTCAGTCTGAGGGTACACTCTTTATGGGCCCCAAGAGCTGTACAAAAATTAAGGCGCAGGGTGCCAGTTTAAATGTGGTTTGGAGAGCCAGGGGTGGGCTGGCCCGGGGCGTAATGAGTAGCCAGATAAAAACTGAGGATGTGCAGGATGCTAGGTTTCACCGGTGTTTGTCTTTCTACACGTCATTGGCTCAACATTGATTGGGGAAAGGGTGCTAGACTCTGGAAATTGCTTCGAGAAGACAGTTCAGTTTACCCAGATTAGTGCCCGGGTCAGAGAAGATGGGATTTAAGGAGTAGTACGATGATGAAGATCTTTGTTAATTATTGGTTGATCATGAGGTCCTGCATATGTACTTACTCTACTGAACCCGGTTCCTCCTGATCTAGCTTGGCTGGTTCAAAATGGAGTCTCTTCTGGCTCCCTGTTGCCTGCCTACGTCAGACCAATGTGAGGTGTGGGACCCTGGTCTTACTGCCTCTCGGGCTGCCCCGGGTCCCTCTTGAGTTTTCCAGAAAGAGAGAGTTTAGCACAGGTAACTTCTGGGGAGGTAACAAAAGCATCTTGTGTTGGTGGCTTAGAACCAGAAACGACTTGATTTTTGTGTTCAGCCTCAGCTGGGGTTTGGAGTGTTGCAGAGAAGCAGGGACAGCCCCCCCCCCCCGGCTTTGCGTCCCAACTCCTTTGCCAGCCCCCCTGCGATCCAGAGCAAAGCTGGGCAGGGTAAGGCATGAAATCAACGGCAGGTTGATTTGAAGCATTGTCATGTTACGATACTGGCACCCTTTCTGGATACCAAACTGTCTAAAAGCATGTGAATTTTCAGATTCTGGAGAGTAACCCACTGAGCCCCCCCCAGTGGTTTCATTAGCCGCTTTTCAGAAGCTGAGACCCGACTGGGACTTCCTTAAGCCAAAGAGGAGAGTTCCCCTAAGCTTGTGCAGAGTGCATTGCTCTTGATACGAAACAGATCTAACCCTCTGCCTCTAGATCTAGTGGCTTTTTGAGAAGGGGGTGGGGGAGGAAAAAGAGCTTGCAAACACTTCCTCTGCCCATTTAGCAGTGATTCAGTGCTGCTCTTGGCCATTGGGTTTTTATAGCCCCTGAGGTTTGGGCAACTTGGATAAGCTTTGCATGACCTGAGCCACTACACTGGCCCGCCATTCCATCTGTGCCTCTCCTACAGCACATGCATGCTGGGTGTTTAAAGCTGATAAATGCCAATTTCCAGTGTTCAGAACATGCTTCTCCTTTGTGCCTTTGGCAGAAGGTCCCAGATTCAATCCCTAATATATCTAGTTAAAGGGATCTGGTGTTAAGGAAGACCTTTCTCTCCTGGAGAGCCACCGACCATCAGAGGAGACTGAAGCTGGGCAGGGTAAGGCATGAAATCAATGGCAGGTCGATTTGAAGCATTGTCATGCTACGATACGGGCACCCTTTCTGGGTACCAACCTGTCTAAAAGCACGTGAATTTTCAGATTCTGGAGAGTAACCCACTGAACCCTCCCCAGTGGTTTCATTAGCTGCTTTTCAGAAGCTGAGACCCGACTGGGACTTCCTTAAGCCAAAGAGGAGAGTTCCCCTAAGCTTGTGCAGAGTGCATTCCTCTTGATACGAAATAGATCTAACCCTCTGCCTCTAGATCTAGTGGCTTTTTGAGAAGGGGGTGGGGGAGGAAAAAGAGCTTGCAAACACTTCCTCTGCCCATTTAGCAGTGATTCAGTGCTGCTCTTGGCCGTTGGGTTTTTATAGACCCTGAGGTTTGGGCAACTTGGATAAGCTTTGCATGACCTGAGCCACTACACTGGCCCGCCGTTCCATCTGTGCCTCTCCTACAGCTCATGCATGCTGGGTGTTTAAAGCTGATAAATGCCAATTTCCAGTGTTCAGAACATGCTTCTCCTTTGTGCCTTTGGCAGAAGGTCCCAGATTCAATCCCTAATATATCTAGTTAAAGGGATCTGGTGTTAAGGAAAGGTCCCAGATTCAATCCCTAATATATCCAGTTAAAGGGATCTGGTGTTAAGACCTTTCTCTCCTGGAGAGCCACCGACCATCAGAGGAGACTGTATCGATTCTGTATAAGACAGCTTGACACGTTAACCATATTTAAGCATTTCTCATGTTGTTTTCTCGTGTCTTACCCGTAGGGAGAGAAGAACCATGGTTTTGACATTCTGTATCACAACATGAAGCATGGACAGATCTCTGCCAAGGAGCTGGCAGACTTTGTGCGAGAGAGGTATGGACCCACTGAGGAAGGGCTGCCTTGCCCCCATCTCATCATACATCGTTCCTTAACGTCCTTGTTGTTTGTGTTTCCTCATGCTAATTTTATACCCTGTGGTTACAGAGTGTTGGTTCGTTGATCTTCCCCCAAGCAGTGTTTTTAGCAATTAAGGTGAGCTTTGCAAGAGCTGAGGTGCTAATCTAAAGGAGAACTCCTTGCAAGAGCTCAGGTGCACTGGGGTTTAGTACATCTGGGGTGGGTTTGCAGGTGTGAGATGAAACTTCACAAACTCGCAAGCGATTGTTGTACTTGCCGTGTATATTTTAGGAAAGCGGCCTTTCAGATCTAGCAAATAAGTGAATGTGTGGCTTCTTCCAGCTGGCCTGTACAAGAAATCTGCTCTCAGCAATGTTAATCTCTGCAGCTGGAAAGTGTTGGTTTGTTGATCTTTCCTAATGCGATTGACAGTCAGAGTGAGATTTGCTGGCATGCTGTGGAAGGGAAGCTAGCCTGTGAGGGATTGGGGGATGCCTCCGTTTTCCCTGTTGGTCCTCTCTCCCAAGTCGTGGTGGGATTTTCCCTGGGGTTTCTCTGCCGATCACTTTCCTAGGAATTGCCTTCTCCATAGCTAAGCCCACTTCTGTGCCTAGGGTTGACCTTTGTGTGTGTTGTGCTGTTGAATCACAGTGCATGAAAACAGAATTTGACAGAGGTCCCAGAACGTGGGCTATCTTGGCTTAAGAAGCAACCAAGTGTGTAGGTCTTATGGTTCCAGAGAGAACCCCAAAAAGAAAAATGAGGCAGGCCTTGGTGAAAGGCAGGGCAGGATTTCTAGTTGCTTGTGGGTCATTAGAATAAGCACAGCCTGTCAACCCTCCCCTATTTACAGAATGCGTTAAGTGAACAAGTGTATAAACCACATGTTTACATACTGTATCCCGGTTGCAGCACCTTTGCATTCCTGGCTATAGAACTGCCTCCATCTTGGCATTTTTGCCCAAATGATACATGGCCATACTTGTGATGGAGGTCTCTGTGCTAAAAGCACCCATCACGGCAGTGTGCTTGGGGTGGTGTCGTGGACAGTGGCTAGAAAGGTTCTCTAGTGGCTGCCACCACTCTGGTATGGGTCTCCTCGGGAGGACCCAGAGTGCCCACCCTACCCCTTTATACACTCCTTTTCCAGTAGGTTTCCCCTTATAAGTAGGGCTGCCAAGTGGGACTTACCTTGCCGGCGGGGGACTCCCGAGTGGATCCTGGCAAGTGTGTGCGCGCACGACACAGGGAAGTGACGTTATGACGCAGGCCACGCTGGGGGTGGGGCCACGACCATAAAAGGGAAAACCATAGTGAGTTTTTGCCTTGTGTGGCCGGGGCCCCGCCCCCAGCGTGCCTGGCATCATAACGTCACTTTCCTGTGATGCGCACGCTGGGGCGGGGTTCCCCCCGGGGCCCGATTCCCCGGCATCGGGGAACGGGCCTCTGGGGCGGGGTTTTTTCCGCCTCCCGGGGGGACTTGGCAGCCCTACTTGTAAGTGACCAAATGAGGCGTGAGGACTCAGGCAGAGTAACAAACTATTTTTATTAATGAGATTTAACAACTATGATTCAGTAACATGTAGGAAAATGAGCATAGTAAAGATAGGCGAAACAGCAGAATAAGAAACCCTAGAGTGCCTGGCTATACTGCCCCTAGCCTTCTCTAGGTTTTTGGCCTCAAGCTGATTCACCCCCTTTGGATGAGGGATCCTTCCATCTGCAGCAGCTTCACACTCACTCTGCTCCCTGGGAGTGAACCACCTCCCACTTTGGGCAAGGCCTTTTATCACTTCTTCCCAGGCAGCACCCTCTACTACTCCACTGGTGTAAGTTTTCCCTCCAAATCCCGTGTTAGTCAATCAGAGGGAAGTGACCTGAGAAATGTAGGCCCTGACAGCTACTCTAGTACAGGCTTCCCTGGAGCCACTAGGCCTCCCTAGAGCCCATAGGCCGCACTGCTATAGGCTTAGGATCATGACAAGGCGGGGTAAGGGTTAGAGGATCCTACTGATAATCGTTCTCTCTTTGTTCCTGAAGGGTGACTGTGGAAGAGGCCTATGCGAAGTCCATGGTCAAGATGTCTAAGATGGCTGGAAACAGCACCCAGGTGGGGTGAGTAAGCAGTTGGATCCTTTGGGTCTGAAGGAGGCACGCTTCCTACGCACCATCCCGTTTTGACAGATGGCCTCTAGCCCCTTCCGGATCCTTCTCCCCTCTTTCCTTCAGCTCGCCTTAGACATCAGCTTCTCAGATGCTCATGTTTTTTAAAGCATTTTGCTTTCTGTTTAGTACATTTTTGTCCTGCCGAACTTGAGGGTCACTAGGCCGCACCAGCTCCAGGGCTAGCGATTCCTGCGAATAGCATACAGTAGTGGCGTGTGTTTCTTGGGGGTGGAGGGTGGGGGTCGGCAGTAATAGCAGCAACAAGTTAGAGAATCTCTGAATACGAGAAGCTGCTTGGAGGGCGTCAGACTGAAGCGGAGGAGCTGATTACCGTGTTTATGTAAAAGGAAGATGACCTTGAGTGTAAGACAACCCTTAAAAATGTTAAAATGTAAGACCTCCCTCCAAAATAAACCATATACACATTAAAAAAAAATTATTAGATGTAACGATAACTTGTATGTGAATTTAAGACAACCCCCTCTTTTTTTGGATAGCACACCTGCAGAAAAGCATAGTCTTGCATTTAAGCAGGGCTCTTTTTGTAGAAAAAGCCCAGCAGGAACTCATTAGCATAATAGACCACACCCAACAGCAGGAACTCGTTAGCATATTAGTCCACACCCCTAACCGCACAGCTCATTACCACATTAGGCCGCACCCCCATGTTACCAGAAGTGTGGTTATCCGACCACACCCACCTTTTGCTTGTTATTCTGTTTACCTTGTTTGTTGTCCAAACCCAGGGCTTTCTTGTAGCAGGAACTCCTTTGCATGTTAGGCCACACACCCCTAATGTAGCCAATCCTAATGAGTTTCTGCTGTTGGGTGTGGCCTATTATGCTAATGAGTTCCTACTGGGCATGGTCAACTTGGGAGCCAGCCAGAACTCTGTTCCTGTGCGTTCCTGCCGAAAAATAGCCCTGCATTGAAGTAAATACCATATGGTTTCCTGAAGGCTGCAAGAGTGACTTTAATTGTGGGTTTGGGTGTCAAGTTGAATCAGTGGAGTAATGCTTTGTGAAGAATGCCGGACTCATCCTGCAGTCAAAGGACTGCAGTGGAATAGCTCGGGGCTAGAAGGTATCATTGCCAAAAAGGAACAACTGGATCTGTCCCCAGCCTCCTGAGGATCAGTAGATAGCTGGGCCACCGGGCCGTTTGCATCCTGCTGCTGTGTTTCATAACTTCAAGTAGCACACCTGAGCATTAAACAAACAAATCACTGTCATACATAAAGGAGAAAGGAAAAAGGAATAAAAGATATGTGGGAATGGTGAAACACACTGGAAGCAGGAATAAGGGATATGGGGTGTTATTTGCTACTGGTGGATCATTAAAAGAAACAGAGACTTCTGTATACAAGTAGAATAATTTTCCCATCTAGGTCTTAGAGCCAATAGGCTGTTTGACCAGACGGGTAGAATATTACATGTGCTTTTCTGCATCAAGAAGATCTGGTTGTCCTCAAGCGATTAATTCAGAAACTTTATGGTTTCTTACTGGATGATTATGAATATGACAAAGCTATTAAGGCTACGATGATTTCTTGGATGAAAGATTTGGGTAAAAATATAGAGATAGAGCAATGGTTTAAAATATGGAAATCTGTGAAATACATGAGAGCTATATCATATAAGGAAAATATATATAAAATGTTCCACAGATGGTATTGGTCTCCGGATAAAATAGCTAAATGCTATACTGATACATCCAACCTGTGTTGGAAATGTAGTAAGATACAAAATTACTGGAAAATGGTACACAAAATAATTCAGGAACGTTTAGGTATGAATTTGGCTTTAATACCGGAAATATATCTGTTAAATATGATTCCTAATGGCTACAATACACAAGAGACATATTTGATGACGTATATAATAACTGCAGCACATTTGTTACTGGCAAAGAACTGGAAATTAGATAAATTACCCTCTAAAGAGGACTTAATGGTAAAAATGTTAGATCTTGCGCAGATGGACGATTTGAGTTTAATACTTCACGATAAGAATAACGTACAGAATAAAAGATGGTCTGGGGTATATAACTGCATAAAACAAGTTATGGAATAATCGACTAAACGTTTATGTAATCTGTTAAAATGGAATGTCTTCTTTTTGAAAAACTGAAAAATAAAAGTATTAAAAAGAAGAAGAAGAGCACCCTGACCTGGATAGCCGAAGCCAGCCTGATCTTGTCAGATCTCGGAAGCTAAGCAGGGTCAACTCTGGCAAGTACTTGGATGGGAGACCTCCTTGGAATACCAGAGGCGGGAAGTGGGGGCAGGCTTTATTCAGCCACCTCTCTGAATATCCTCCAGGCCCCCAGTTAGGGGTCAGTCACCAGAGGTCACCATGACTTCCAGGTGCACGCACACTCACTCATGCACATATTTAAAAAATACAAAAAAAAAAATACCAGAAGAAGAAGAAGAGCACGTTGTTGAGTCACAGCTGACTCATGGCAACCCCGTCTGCAGGGTGTTCCAGGCAAGAGAGGAGCAGAGGTGGTTTGCCATTGGCTTCCTCTGAGTAGCAACCCCAGCCTTCCTCGGTGGTCTCTCTTCCAGGTACTGACTATGGCCGACCCTGCTTAGCTCCCTTTCCTATCAAGCTACCACAGATAGCTGAGAATGAGCTGCACAATATCTGTGGAAACTGAGCTTCACCATATTTACAGAAAGTTCTCAACTTGTGGTGGTTTTCCCCCTCTTAAGGAAGATCTTTCTGTTCCGTCTTCCCCCTTCCAGGACTTTTGCCCCCCTGTGGGAGGTCTTCCGCATCTCGTCCGACAAGCTGGCCCTGTGTCACGCGGAGCTTGTGAAGAAGCTGCAGGATTTGATCAAGGAGATTGGGCGCTATGGAGATGAGCAGATACGGGTGCACAAGAAGGTGGGCTGGTTTGGCTCCATGGGAATGAGGGGGCCTTCTTCCCCTTGGGTGTTGTATAGCCAGGAGATCCAAAGATTGTCTGGCAGCCAGAAGTTCTTAACTCTTTTTGTGTTATGCACCACTAGGTGGCGAGCTAGACTTGTTTTTTGGGCTGAGAGGGCTCTGAGAGCTGTGACTGGCCCAAGGTCACCCAGCTGGCTTCACGTGGAGGAGTGGGGAATCGAACCTGGTTCTCCAGATTAGCGTCCACTGCTCTTAGCCACTACACCATGCTGGCTCTGGCTGGGCTTAGTAGCCTGTCTCTCTCTACATGGTGTAGCGGCTAAACTGTCAGACTAGGATCAGGGAGATCCAGGTTCGAATCCCCACTCGGCCATGGAAGCTCACTGGGTGACCTTATGTCGGTCACTCTCAGGCTAACCTACTTCACAGGGTTGTTGTGAGGATAAAAACAGAGAAGAGGAGAATGATGTAAGCTGCTTCGGATCCCCACCGGGGATAAAGACGAGGTGTAAACGAATATTTGTGGTTGCCGCTGATCTCTCCTCTCGCTCACGCTTGGCTTTTGTAGAGACAGGCTGCCATATCATCAGCTGTAGGACGTTCCAGGAGGAAGGCTGATCCACTGCCCCTCCTTTGGGTTATCTTTGGAAGACTTCCTTCCCTCCCTGTTGCCGGTGTCTGCCGGTCATTTCGGCAAAGGGTAGGAAACGGGTTTGCCTCCGGCAAGCAGGTGTATGGATTTATAGAAACCAAATAGAGCGACGTTCCAGGAGGAAGGCTGATCCACTGCCCCTCCTTTGGGTTATCTTTGGAAGACTTCCTTCCCTCCCTGTTGCCGGTGTCTGCCGGTCATTTCGGCAAAGGGTAGGAAACGGGTTTGCCTCCGGCAAGCAGGTGTATGGATTTATAGAAACCAAATAGAGCCACGCGAGTACATCCTCAATGGAAAAACCCCATCAAAAAACCCCAGTGGGATACCTAAGTAAATGTGTCCAATCTTGAACCATTTAATTGCTTTCGTTACAAAATGGATATCTGAAGCAATGCAACGAAACTGACTTGGAAATTGCACCTATTGCAAGGGGTATCCTTTGCAAACTGATGAAATGCAACAATAAAATCTGTCAGTCATAACAAGGTAGTGCATAAGTTGCAGTGTATGGGGTGGATACTGCAGGCTGTGGAAGGTCAGTAGTTCAGTAGTTCAGCAGTTTGAGACCCAGGTGCCGCATGATGGAGTGAGCTCCCGTCTCTAGTTCCAGCTCCTGCCAACCTAGCAGTTCGAAAAAAAGCAGTAGATAAATAGGTACCACTTCAGTGGGAAGGTAACAGCGTTCTGTGCGCCTTGGTGTTGAGTCATGCTGGCCACATGACCACGGAAACGTCTTCGGACAGCGCTGGCTCTTCGGCTTTGAAACGGAGATGAGCACCGCAACCCTAGAGTCGGATTCGACTGGCTTTCGAGCAAGGGAACCTTTACCTTTTGTGGGGTGGATAGAAGGCTAACTGGATCTTGTCGGATTTCGGAAATTAAAGCGGGGTTGTCCCAGGCTAGTATTTGGAAGGGACACCTCCAAGGAGTTCCAGGGTCATGACATGGAGGCGGGCAATGGCCAACCACCTTTGAATGTCTCTTGCCTTGAAAAGCCAATGGGGTTGCCATAAGTCAGCTGTGACTTGATGGCAAAACAAAATGGGTGGACATACGGGGTCAGATCCTATGGATCTGTTCTGCTAACGGGGTGCTTTCTTCCAGCATGAGATGTCTGCTGACATCATAGGTTCTGAGATGGAACTGTGGGCTAGTGAAGTGAATTTTCAGCAGCAGAAGTGTCTGTTATTTATTATCAAATCTGGACCCAGCTGTTGATTCTAAGAGCCTTAGAAGAGCCCTGCTGGATCAGATCAAGATGGGTTCCTCCATCTCTGCTCTTTTGCTTTTAGTTGCAGAAGCCATACTGTGCCGGTTGAATACCTCTTACCATGGATTCAGTCTCCCTACAGAAGATCTCAGGGACCAAACTAGGAAAGATCTCTCGCTCTCTTGCTCACTGTGCCTGATAACTGTCAGTCACTAATCTTTGGGCAAGTGGAGAGAGAGAGATAGACTATTGGTAACCTGCAATTTCCTTGCCCTTCTCTGCAAGCTTTAAAAGCCTGTGTTCCTGTATCACACTTTTCATTCTTGTTACCCTCTGACAGGGCTTTGGAGACATTTTAGTGGGATTCCGTGACCTTATTGGCTATCAAACTTAAATGTTCTTTTCGCAGGGCTCTTTTTGTAGAAAAAGCCCAGCAGGAACTCATTAGCACAATAGGCCACACCCAACAGCAGGAACTCATTAGCATATAAGGCCACACCCCCATGTTACCAGAAGTGTGGTCATCCAGCCACACCCACCTTTTGCTTGTTATTCTGTTTACCTTGTTTGTTGTCCAAACCCACGGCTTTTTTGTAGCAGGAACTCCTTTGCATGTTAGGCCACACACCCCCTAATTTAGCCAATCCTAATGAGTTTCTGCTGTCGGGTGTGGCCTGTTATGCTAATGAGTTCCTGCTGGGCGTGGCCAACTTGGGAGCCAGCCGGAATGCCGTTCCTGTGCGTTCCTGCCCAAAAATAGCCCTGGTCTTTTGGTTTGATCCAGCAGGACTATTCTTTAGCTATTATATTTTTTATCCCCCACCCCCGGTTAGTCGAAGGACGAAGTGGCGGGGACCCTGGAAGCTGTCCAGGTCCTACAAGGAGCTGCTCAGCATCTCCCGAAGGCCAAGGAGAACTACCACAGCCGATGCCAGGAGCTGGAACGTCTGCGTAGGGAAGGGGCAAGCCAGAAGGAAAGGACGAAGTGGCGGGGACCCTGGAAGCTGTCCAGGTCCTGCAAGGAGCCGCTCAGCACCTCCCTAAGGCCAAGGAGAACTACCACAGCCGATGCCAGGAGCTGGAACGTCTGCGTAGGGAAGGGGCAAGCCAGAAGGAGATTGATAAGGTAATGGAGGAGGACTTCAGAACCTAAGAGAAGCCATGTTGGATCAGGCCAGTGGCCCGTCTAGTCCAACACTCTGTGTCACACAGTGGCCAAAAACCCAGGTGCCATCAGGAGGTCCCCCAGCAGGGCCAGAACTCCAGAAGCCCTCCCATGGTTGCCCCCCAAGCACCAAGAATACAGCACGTCACTCACTGCCCCATAGTGTTCCCTCGATACCTTGTGGCTAAGACTTGTTGTGGGGAGGATTGTTGAAAAGTATACAGACGGAGAGTGATTTCAGCTAAGCATACTGTTATTAGTCAGGAACAAGACACTTTGGCCGGCTCGCAGGCCGGTTTATATTCCCTCAGAAACCCACCACCACAACACACACACCCACTTCCCGATAGGCTATTTACAGTAACCGAAAGACCTATTGGCCTCACGGTTTGGGACCTAGCCCTCTGATTGGGCCTGGCTAGGATCCTTCTGGCCCATTGTCTTTAGATGTGAAGCTTGAGGTTTTGTCCCTAGGCAAGTCCGGACATGTCCGGCCCTGTCAGGGCTGGATACATTACAATTGTTCCAAGGGGTCCAGTGGTGGGTGGTTCTTCTAGAGGTCATGGCAAGGGGAGAAAATATCACTGGCCACACATGGTTAAAAAGTTGAGAGAAGGAAGGGCATTGGGTGGTTTGACCATGGTAGAGTCTCGAGTGGGTCAGTGCTGGGGGTGAGGCGTGGAAACCGGGAAGGGGAATGTGGCGCTTGAGGTGTGTGTGTGGGGGACCCTCCCTTACATGGATGTCTCTTGCCACTTTGCGCGAAGGCCGAATCGAAGTCCCGTAAGGCGGTCGAAGCCCTCCGGCGCGCTGTGGAGAAGTACAACCTGGCCCGCGATGATTTTGAGCAGAAGATGCTGGACTCCGCTATGGTATGGCGATGGAGCCGGTGGGGGAGGGACGTGGCTTGTGTTTCCACCCGGCTTTGGGCTGCATTGCAAGATTTAAAAGATAACCGGAAAAAGATCTACTTTTTCTTTTCCTCGAGGGAGCAGTTCTTTTATATCAGTTTTAAAGAAATCTATTGGGCTAATCCAGCCACCTTGGTTTTGTTTTCATATTCATTGATGCGTCCGTCCCTAATGAGAATGGGAGCTGTCAGTGCTCCTTAAGATACGTGCTTCTTTTTCTGTATTTCTGTACCCTCAGGGTAAAAGAGGGTAACAAACTGGGGGGTGGGGCAGTTGCCCGGATGACATCACAAGAAAGAGAAGTAGGAATATAGGATCCCCAAGCCCAGGGGAGAAAATGGGACACGCTTTGCTTGATGTCTCAGAGCTAACCTAAGAGCAGCACAGGGTGTGTAACTCGACCCTGAAAACCAGGCACAGCGTATTGAGTGGGGTGTGCGGGGGTGAGAATCTGGATCAGGCTGAAGTCTGTTGGAGATTTTCAGCGCTTATTCCTGATCGAAAACGCCTCTCCTCTGCTTGCCTTGAGCCGTGCTACGAAACAAAGACCTTACGTCATGGGTCCCCAACCTTTCTGAGCCTGTGAGCGCCTTTGGAATGCTGATGCAAGGTGGTGGGTGCAACCACAAAATGGCTGCCCAAGGAGGTGGAGCTAGCCTGCAACTATCAGGGTCAACCTAGCAGTTCGAAAGCAAGAAATTGCAAGTAGATAAATAGGTACCACTTCGGTGGGAAGGTAACAGCATTCCGTGCACCTTGGTGTTTAGTCATGCCGGCCACATGACCACGGAAACGTCTTCGAACAGCGCTGGCTCTTCGGCTTCGAAACGGAGATGAGCACCGCAACCCTAGAGTCGGATTTGACTGGCTTTTGAGCAAGGGAACCTTTACCTTTTTTTATAAACCAACAGTAACTCTTTGACATTAAAAGGCGTCCTGTTAAACAGGGCTTCTGCCTGAAATCTGCACGACCAATTAGAAGCCTTGCTGACCAAATGTCCCACCTATCCCCTCGCACTTTCTAAAAGCACTTGGCGGGCGCCAGGAAAGTTGTCGGCGGGTTCCACGGTGCCCAGGGGTACCACATTGACCTGTGTTGTTGTATGTGGGGGGTTCCCCCCCACCTTTTGTGGCCTTACAGAAGCACAAGGGGCATTTTCTGTTAGGGAAATACAGTGGGTGGGTGATTAGGAGAGAGGCCTAAACCTTCCTTGGTGGCATCGTCCAGATCTTTTATCAGGCCCCCTGACAAATTACTCACCTGGAGTTCCAGTTCTAGAACTCCATCAACACTTGCACATTGGCCCTGAAAGGTGAGAAGTGCTGTGCCAGGAGTCTCTTGCTCTGGAGAGGGTTCCATAAGGGTGTGTGTGTGCACAACAGCACAACAGCAGATACGGTTACGAGGGGCTAGCAAAACAGCAGATTAAGTCCAAGTGGGCTTTTGTCCTGGATTGCAGCCCCCATAGTGAGATAAACAAGAACACCCACCCAATGACAGGGCCTTTTCTGTGGTGGTACCTTGATTATGGAATGTCCTCCTGCCTATGGCAGTTGGCCTGGTACCTGATTGATTACCCCTAAGGCAACAGGTGAAGACTTTGTTCTTCTCCTAGGCATTTTATCATGGTGGGTGTTCCTGGGTAGGTCTGCGTTTCATCGGGTGCTTTTGTTTGCTGTTTGTTATTTTGTGTGGTGGGCTGAAAAGTTTTATCTTTTGATGCGTTTTGAAGTTTCACAAAATTGGATGTTGCCGCTGTTCTTCCCTGACTGAAACTTTTCTATGGAGAGAGCGGTTAATGAAACGTTTCATATCAGTAAACCTCAGGTTCTTCTCTGGTTAATGTGATGTAGGAGGAAACCCAAACCTCAGGTAACTTGACTTCTTCTCGACCTCCCTTCTGCAGCGCTTCCAAGAAGTGGAAGATTCTCACTTGTGCCATATGAAGGCCCTGATCAGCTCCTTTGTGCACTCTGTGGAGGATACCCATGTCCAGATCGGGCAGGTGAGGGAAAGAAGGGTGGCTGAGTGAAAAGTCCCAAAGGGGGTGTGGTTGAGAGGGCCCAGGAGGAAACAGGGGTGGGAGGAAATGTCACATAGGCCCAATTGTCAGAGGGGTTCAGCGAGCCCACAGTGGGGTAGATGGATAAGTGGTCTGAATTGGTACAAGGCAGTTTCAGATGTTCTCCTTTCCTGATTTCTTGCATCGCTTTTTGAGGGGAAGTTAAGAGAAAACAGGAACTCATCTCATCTGCAGAGTTACAGGTGGGAACATATACAGAGACGGACAGGAGGGGATGATTTTCTGCCAGGCGCAAGTGACCAAGCTGCTTAACTTTGGAGGCTGTTTTGGTGATGATGACCTTTTCCTTCTCCTCACCATAGGTCCATGAGGAGTTCAAACAGAACATGGAGAATATCGGGGTGGAGACATTGCTGCGAAACTTTGCGGAGAGCAAAGGAACTGGCCGTCATCCACCAGGTTAGGGGGCGTTGTCTGCAGTGAGGAGGTTGTGGGGGAACTTGTTGGCAAAATAACCTAAGAGTGGCTGATACCTATATTTCCCCCCCATTTTCCTCCCAGGGCCACTGAATTTTGAGGAGCTGAGCATGACCCCAGCTCAGGAAGGCAAGTACGTCCGGGCGCTTGGGCAGTTGACACCCAAGATTCAAAAAGAGGGGGCGTGGTGGTGGCTAGAGAAATCGTCAGGTTACTGGCCCCAGGGTGGGTGATGCTGTTATTTGGGCTGTCTTCGTGAAGCTGCACAAAGTAGGAACAAGAAGAAATCTACAATCTAAAATAAGGTACCAAGGATGCAAAGTTCAGTCAAGTGATAGGCCTGAAAATTTAGGGGGCTTGATTGGGAGCCAATCTTAATGGGCGAGAGCAAGTTGTCGTCCACAGGGCTGTGTGACTCTTCACTACTTTTGGAGGTGGTGGTTGGAATGAAAAAAAATGTGTGTGAAGTGCCGTCAAGTTACAGCTTACTTCTGGTGATTTCTCGTGGGGTTTTCAAGGCAAGAGAGGAACGGAGAGGTTTGCCATCGCCTGCGTCTACATGGCGATCATTGACATCCTTAGTGGTCCCCCATCCAAGTACTAACTGGGGCCACCCCTGCTTAGCTTCAGAGATCTGACAGGATCGGGCTTGCCACGGCCATCCAGGCTGGGTCAATGAAAAACTGAAAGGGAAGAGAAGGGGAGATTGGATTAATACCCAGCCCTTCACTCGGAGTCTCAGAGTGGCTTACAATCTCCTTTCCCTTCCCCTCCCCACAACAGACACCCTGTGAGGTAGGTGGGGCTGAGAGAGCTCTTTTGAGGACTGCTCTTTCAAGGACAGCTCTTGTCAGAACTACGGCTTGCCCAAGGTCATCCAGCAGCTGCAAGTGGAGGAGTGGGGAATCAACTCCGGTTCTCACAGATTAGAGTCCGCGCACTTAACCACTGCACCAAACTGGCTCCAGCTATTAATTAGGAATCGAAACTGTTCTATTCTTCCTTTGGTATCTTGAAATGGCTCCAGTATGGTGTGTATGTTAATGCACAACGCAATACACAAATGTAATCACTTTAAAATGACAATGGTTAATCACCGTTAAAGGCTTCGCGTTTGTTGGTGGTCCAAAATAATGGACATATGTTCTGCTGTGGAATATCTTATTGCTGAGTATAAATTAACCCAAGCCCTGACCTGGATAGGCCAGGCTGTCCTGATCTTGTCAGATCGCGGAAGCTGAGGCAGGGTCAGCCGTGGCTAATATTTGGATGGGAGACACCAAAGGAATACCAAGGGTTGTGATGTGGAGGCAGGCCGATGGTAAACCACCTCGGAACGTCTCTTGCCTTGAAAACCAAATAAGGTAGCTGTGACTTGACAGCAAAATAATAATAATAATCAGGGCTATTTTTGGGCAGGAACGCACAGGAACGGAGTTCCAGCTGGCTCCCAAGTTGGCCACGCCCAGCAGGAACTCATTAGCATAACAGGCCACACCCAACAACAGAAACGCATTAGGATTGACTACATTAGGGGTGTGTGGCCTAACATGCAAAGGAGTTCCTGCTACAAAAAAACCCCCTGGGTTTGGACAATAAACAAGGTAAACAGAATAACAAGCAAAAGGTGGGTGTGGCTGGATGACCACACTTCTGGCAACATGGGGGTGCGGCCTAATGTGCTAATGAGCTGTGCTGTCAGGGGTGTGGCCTAATATGCTAATGAGTTTCTGCACTTGGGTGTGGCCTATTATGCTAATGAGTTCCTGGTGGGCTTTTTCTACAAAAAGAGCCCTGATAATTAATTCGAAGTTAAAAGGGGGAAGGGGTGTACGACTTGGCTGCAGCATGCTTTTTTCCTAAAGGAACAAACAAACAACCCCCCCCCCAATACCCCTGTCTGTATTGAGAGGTGATAAAAGTGTTCACGCTTGGGTTCCGTGAATTAAATAACTTTCTGAAAGGTGAATCACTCGGCTTGTGAACTGACGAGTTGATCCAACGCAGATTTCCATGTTTCCAGGCTCAATGGAGGCACCTTTTTTGGGGAGGAATGATCTCAGTCAATCGGGAACAAACTAGTCACTGCTAGCTGGCTTGGTGTGGGAAGGAACAGCCTTCTGTCATGCTCAGCTCTGTCGTACTTTTAGCATCCATGGCTAATATTGGATTTTACTATCATGCTCGCTTGCTAATAGCTGTTGCAAAACAGTGTTGATGCAGCGCCATCTGGAGGCTGATGATGGGCAGCAACAGAGGAGGGGGGGCCCCTTCAGGCTTCAGGCGTGTGCAGAACTTCAGAAATTGTCTTTATTTGAAATATTTGTAGACCCACTTCCTCGCCAGGATTCTTGAGGTAGTTTGCAGAAATTGAGCACAAAACATTTTTTTAAAAAGCAATTTACTTCATGTAGGCCTAGGGTTGCCAGCCTCCAGATGGTGGCTGGAGCTCTCCTGCAATTACAGCTAATCTCCAGGCAACAGAGATCAGTTTACCTGGAGAAAATGGCTGCTTTGGAAGGTGGACTCTACGGCATTGAAGTCCCTCCCCTCCCCAAACCCCGCTCTCCTCAAACCCCGCCCCCCAAAATCTCCAGGTGTTTCCCCAACCCTATTTAGACCCTGCTTTTCTCCATAGTAGGGGGACCCAAAGTTGCTTACATTGTTCTCTCCTCGTCCATTTTATCCTCACAACAACCCTGTGAGGTGGGCTGGGCTGAGAGTGCACGACTGGCCCAAGGTCGCCCAGCAGGCTTCCATACCGGAGTGGGGGTTTGAGCCTGGGTCTCCCAGATCCTAGTTGGACACTCTGACCACTGCACCACACTGCTTCTTCCCCCACCAAGAAAAGATAAGATGAGCAGCCAGTTGAAACAAACCACTGAGCAGTGGCGAGGCATATTAAAATACTGTCAGCTCAATCTCCTTGTCGTCTTCTCTTACAGTGGAATCCTCAAGTCTGAGTCCATTCACATCTCTGGGTTCAGACTGGAGTAATTCTACATTCCAACGTTAGAATCCAAATGAGGCATCTTTCAAATTTAACTCTGCCCATTTTCTGCATTAAAAGAATGAGTCTATATTTTTGTGTATACACTTCTGATTTGCAATTGCTTTAATTCTTTTGCGTTTTGATAATTTTACTAGATCTTACAGATTATATGTTCAATTTATTGAAATATTTATATGCCCCCCTTCCATTAAAAAATTGATTTCCACTTACCTTTTTTTTTTATGCTTTGTTTTCTCATGGAAGGCAAGAGAAGGTAACGGTTCTACATTCAATGTTAACTTAAGAATGCCAGTTAAAAATTCTCTCTCTCTTTTTGAAAAGCAAGATTTTAAAGCCAGCAAAAACACCCTCTGAACTCTACTTTAAACCACTAGATGCTATCAAACGTAATGCTCTCAAGGCTTTAGGAAATCTTGGCTGCCCAATTATTATTTTTTTTAAATATCCGCTCTGAATTGGTGGGAAAAGTACCTGTTCTCAATCATTGCAATTATCCACACAAACAAAGGGTTAATTTATCCCCCTCCCCCCCCCGGGCACAATTTTAGGTTGCCTGCGTTTAACTCATCTTGTGAATAACTTCCAGGGGGTGTTTTTAAAGTTAATCACAATGGGTCTGGTTCCAGCCCTGCCTTGGTTTGGGGTAGAAGCCCCGCTGAAGGGCATTTCTTTCTAGCCATTGTTTTGCAATATTATTTCCAAATTTTATATCCCGTGTCTCTAGTAGGGCTCCCAGGTCCCCCCTTGGCCACTGGCGGGGGATGGGGGGGTTGCCAGATCTAGGTTGGAAAACTCCTGGAGATTTGGGGATGGAGCCTGGGGAGGACAGGGACCTCAGTGGGGTACAATGCCATAGAGTCCACCCTCCAGAGCATCCATTTTCTCCAGGGGAACTGATCTCTGTTGTCTGGAGATGAGCTGTAATTCTAAGGGATCCCCAGGTCCCACCTGAAGAATGGCATCTCTAGTCCCTAGTGACCTGCTAGAGGTGGCTCACAATCTAAAATAAAATCAAATCCTAAAAATTAGCAATCATAGCTGTTTTTTAAAAGAAGTCAGAGCATAAACTGACAGCCTAAAAAGGGTACCCATAAAACAGCTCTCCGTCTAGATGCAGACGCTTACAAAAATTAGAATCACTTGATTAAAAGCCGGGGTTAAAAGGAATGTTTTGGGCTGGCTTCTTGAAGGAGGTGAGATGCCTTCAGTGTATCCAGCATTTCACACACATTCTATTCTTGCAGTCCATACAACAGCCTTGCAAAGTAGGCCAGGAGCGATATCCCTGTTTTATGGTTGTGGGGAGCTATAAAAGAGTTTAGCCTGAGGCTGTCCTGTGCATTGGTAGCTGAGATGAGATCACAGCCAATCGTTCTCTGAGCCACTCCGTTACTCCGATGCAGCGGAGTCAAGATGGATTATTTCAGTCAAACTTTGTCCCCGAAAGGAATTTGCTAACGTTTGTTTTCAGTGAGTTTGTCATCAAGATGCGACTCTCCTTCCCTCCCCAGGACCAAAGCGAACTCGCAGCAAAGCCTTCCGCATCCCTGGCTTGGGCCGCAAAGACCGCGAACGGGATTCTGTGTGAGTTGGGCTTTCCGCCTTCTCTTTGCTGTTCCCCCGACTGTTGTGCCCGCGTTGCTTTCCAAAGCTGTGTGATCCACCCAACACTAATAATTAATTATCGTACGGCATTGTGTGTAGAATAGCCAGGAGATCCTAAGATTGTCTGGCAGCCGGAAGTTCTAGCTCTTTCTTAGCATAATAATAATAATAATAATAATAATAATAATAATAATAATAATGATGCTTTCGATTTATTGATCGCTCTTTCCCACATACCTGTGGGCTCAGAGCAATTTACAGTTACTCTTGAGACAGTTGGACTAACACTTACGGGTGGTCCCCAATTTATCTACTCGCCGAAGCTTTCGAATCGCTGGGTAGACGATGAGCTAGGACAAGGCTTGGTTGCTCACACCAGCACGGGGCTAGAACTGCCAAAGCATGGCAGTTCAGATGTTATTGTTAAGCAGGGAAAAATCCCCTGCGGCACCGCTCCCTTGGAATGCACCACTAGGTGGTGGGCTAGACTTGTTTTTGACGCAAGAGGTGTTTCAGAGGTGGTTTGCCATGGCCTGCCTCTGCGTCACAGCCCTGGTATTCCTTGGAGGTCGCCCTTCCAAATACTAGCCAAGGCTTAGCTTCCGGGATCTGACGGGATTGGGCTATCCAGGTCAGGGCACCCAGCACTCACTCTCTTTCTCTCTCTCTCCCCCCTCCCCGCCTCACCAGGGAATCTCCAGATGCGGATTCAGTGGTGAGTTGTATCCATCCTCCCTTCCCCCTAACAAAACCTAGCCGTTGAGGATTGGGATGGGGGAGGGAGAGTGCTTGAATTTATTTTTGCTAAAATTGCACACACATTAAAAGAATTGTGGATCTCTGCCAGCAGTGCTTCTCCAGGCCCCTCATGACTCCAGCTGTTGTTTCGGCCTGAGCATTTAGCCCTGACTGTGGTCTTCTCTTGTCCCTGCCTGCTCCTTTGGTGTTCTCAGAGGGTTGGGCCTGCCCTTCTACTCAGTAGACGGCAGGGCCTCTTCCAAAGGAAAGAGACCATTAACCTGAACAGGGTGGTAGAATACAGCCCACCACTTATAATTCAGTAGTCCTTGTTTACATACAAGAGACTCCACCCCCCCATTAGGTAATATTAACAGGCTAGTGATTAAAGTGTCATTTTTTTTAAAAAAATGTGCGGTGTATGTTAAGTGGGGGCAATCACATGCATGGGGCCTTCTCACTTGCTGTTGTCTTCCCCTCCAAATCCAGCAGCCGCCCGAAGTGGACGAAGAGGGGTTTACGGTCCGTCCTGAAACAAACCAGAATGATATCCTTTGGTCGTGACTGTCAGACTGCTTTCCTGGAGCCAGATGGGCTGAGAATGGGGTCTTTGGGGTGGGTGTGGGTGGGGATTTGCCTCTGTTTCTTCAAGGGAACAACGAGGCAAAGTAATTCAGGATGGGAACGGGAAGTCTTTTCTGAATCTTTTCCCCCCGCCCCATTATTCTGGGGCACAGTTTGGGGGCTGAGCAGTTTTGAACGGGAGGTTGGACGTCCGATCACTTGCTCTGGCTCCCCGTTTCCTCGAGGTGTGTGGGCAATTGGGAGTAAGAGGGTCGGAGATCAGGGCTTTGTGGCTCTTTCGTTGTGGGATGGAGACAGCCCTTTGGGCTTAAACGGTAAAGGTCAGAAAGGTCTGTCCGGCTCCATCTCATGCGAACCAAAGGCCTTCTCCCATGAGAACGGAACATCCTTCATGAGAATAGAAGTCTCTTGAGAACCTGGCCCCTCAAGTCCAGCCACAAAGTCATTGAAAATATACTGTCCAGCCTGAGAGCTACCGGGTGAGCACGAAAAGCGCTCTCTCTCTTTTTAAATTTAACTTTTTTGGAAATGTTTATAAACAAACAAATCATAATGCAAGTCAATCTAGAGGTTATGCAATAATTATTACACAGCAGATCTAATAAAATGATATAATACAAAATATTGAATAGTATAAAACTACTGAAATTAAAACTATTTTACACACAAACTTTGCAGTCTCCCCCTATCCTTTCTTTTCCCACGAAGCCTTTCCTAGCCTCCCACAATTCCCTGTCCTCCCAGTTCTATCCAGGAGTTGTGGGTATTTGCCCTTGACTCTTCATACCACGCGAGCACGGGAACCACTTCTGCTCGTCCAGTGACTCAGATTACGACGACGAGGAGCCGCACAAGTTCTACATCCGCATCAAACCTGTGCAGCCCCGGGAGAGAACCAACAGTGCGGCCGCCTCTGCTGCGGTGGAACAGCTCAAGGCCTCTGTCGGCAACCTCATACTGCCGCCAAGCGTGGGGGTGAGAGACCGGGAAGAAGGGAGGTCCTGAAGACAGGGAAAATTGAGAAAGTAAAGGAAATCGGTCACTCCTGGACTATCGGCAACCCCTTGGTGCCTATCCAAAGCCCCTCTGCACATATTTGCCCTGATATGGCAACTTCTTGGGTACCTTGGGTAGCCAGTTTGGTGTAGTGGTTAAGAGTGGTGGACTCCAATCTGGGAGAACTGGGTTTGATTCCCCACTCCCCCACATGCAGCTGCTGGATGACCTTGGGTCAGTCAAAGTTCTCTCAGAGCTGTTCTCTCAGGAGCAGTTCTTGAGAGAACTCTCTCAGGGAGACGAAAGGGAAGGAGATTGTAAGCTGCTCTGAGACTCCTTTGGGCAGTGAAGGGCGGGGGATAAATCCAATCTCCCTCACCTTCCTTCTCTCCTCTCCTCTGTAAGGACAGAAGTAGAGGGCCATGCCAATAACGGGCGGGGGATAAATCCAATCTCCCTCACCCTCCTCCTCTCCTCTGTAAGGACAGAAGGAGAGGGCCATGCCAATAAAGAGTCCAGGAAGAGAAGGAAAGAAATGGTGCAGTGGGAAAACATATTTTATTTATAGTATAGATCCCTCTGTGTTTTGCACACTGCTTTGTCAGGGGATCTGTAAAGTAGCACTCTTTTACAGATCCCCTTACGGAGCAGTTTGTGAAGCCCATAGGGATCTGTACTATGAATAAAATATGTTTTCCCACTGCATCTTTACCCCTCCCTCTTCTCTTCCTGGACCACCTTTCTACATGGGACATAGATGGGCTTCAACGTGGTCTAATCCCAAGAGATGGCATTCTGTTGACACGGCTTAAAATTTATTATTCATCACTTCAGAGTCTTCAAGCACTTGCTGTCCTGTTCTCTGCACCTGACCCTGGCCTGCTTCACAGTAGAGAGAGGGAAAAATAATCCCAAAGAGAAATTCAGAGGAAGGGATGATTAAGTTTGGTATCTAAAGCTGGGGGGGGGGGGGGGGAGGGAAGAACCTGACACGTAGAATATAAAAAGAAGGAAGAGCGAACATGTAGAATTTGAGCGGAAATTGATGTGGTGTGTAGCACTTGTACAGTGTGCATGGGTGTACGTAGCAACACAAATAACCTTGCTGGTGGAGGGGGTGGGTTGCTGTCCACACAAGTTAGGGAACGTTGTAAATGAGGGATCTAGTGGGCAGAGGTGTTTCTGGGAAGAAATCATGCCAGACTTCTCTTGGAATGTACTGGTTCCTTCTGAATGGCCCTAGGAATCCACTGAATTTTTGAGAATGCTATAGGAATGCATATTTTTGCCTGATCTTTGGGACTTGTTTAAAGGAAGGCTGATTGGTTGCTTAGGTACAAATGGAGAAGTATTGTCCATTTAAATGGCCACTGAAATGTACTGAGGGGGGTAGGAGGAAAACTGATCTGGATCAGGAATCCCCTTCTTTTTTATTTACTGGCACTTGGCCAGAAGCTCCTTCTCTGAGATACAGGGTGTCTCATCACACTTGATGCTAGTGTCGCCAACAGGCCTGGAGTAAAATGTCCTGTCACGTTAGTAGAGGTTAGTTTAGTTTTATTATTACGGTCTTAAGACCAACATACAGAGTAAGCATAATATGTGAGGGAGAGAAGAAGAAAAAACCCCAGTCATAATATACAAAAATAGAAATCTGAATTTAAGAACTTTAAAAATGCAGTTCCTACGATCTAAGAATTAATGCACAAAACTCAGCGACTGAATGTGTAATCTCTACATTCTTATCTGATAGGAGCCAGTGAAGCTAGTAGAGGTTTGATTTGGATTTTCTTTACCAGATGGTGTTCACGCCATGAAAACCTTCAAAGGCCCATTTCCACACAGTGTTCTTCCATTTGAGGGTTAGGCCCATTTTTCTCCAGACCTGATGGCAACCCTGCTTGCTGCCAATTCCCATTCCTTTCTTCAGTGGCTTGTGCAGTTGGATCAGCCAGAGCTGGAGGGAGGAAAGGGGAGAGAAGGGCTTGGTCGTTCTAGGCAGGTGACTTTGTGTGGGGGAATTTTTTTCCTAACTCCCTTTCCTTTCCCCTTCCACAGTGCACCATGAAGAGGCATTCATCTAGTGAGTGATTCATCCCACCTCAGATTTTATTTGTGTGTATATGTGTGGGAAGGGTGGAGGAGGGGGTCATCCATGGTCAAGGGGGTGGATTGGGCTTATGGCAGCAATGTTGAATTGTGGGGAGGGTCAGAGGGCTTAGATTTTACACGGGTCCCCAACCTTTTTGAGCCTTCCGAGACCTTTGGAATTCTTACACAGGGCAGTGAGCACAACCGCAAAATGGCTGCAGCAGTAGGTGGAGCTAATCACAAAATGCCTGCTGCAGGAGGCTGAGCCAACCACAGAATTGAGATTGAGGGTTATATATTGGGATTAAGGTTATAGATAACTGTATATATAACCGTAATAGTGACTCCTCAACATTTTGAGCAGAAGTTCTGTTTGACAGGATGCCTGGGAAAGCCCTATCAGATTCTGCCCCCCACCCCCATATTGGCTCATCTTCAGAGGAGGCCTTTATTCCACGGTCTTCCAGTTCCCCCTCAGTTGAGGAATCAGTTCTGGGGTCTGGCTCTGGGAGTGTCCCGACACTCATCTCCAACCTGTACCTCTTGTAGGGCACTTGAAATCTCTCGCCTCTGCAGCTGTGGAAACTGATTCTGACACGGCCCCGGCTCCAGGTGAGGGAGGCCAATATTTGGGGGCTCAGAGACGGGGATGAGACAGAGAAGCCGAGGGAGGGCAAAGCCCAGTTCCTTTTCCAAGAGGCCGTAATCTTCATTTGTGTCCGGCTGCAGCTTTGAGCTCTGGTCAAGTAACACATGCTTTCTCTAGTCCAGGGGTCCCCAACCTTTTCGGGCCTGTGGGCACATTTGTAATTTTGAGAAGGGGTGGTGAGCACAACCCCAAAATGACAGCTAAAGAAGACAAAGCAAAACTCAAAATCAGGCCTGTAGCCAGGATTTTGTGGTTTTGTGGGGCACTTCTCTCCCCCCCCCCCCCCCCTGCCCCGGTGAGACTGAAGGTCTCAGTGCAGAAAGAAAAGCCATTTAGCCAAAGGTGTTACCAAAATAGATCTCTAAATTGCAAGCTGTCAACCATTTAGATGACAGTTCTCAGCTGCTGCAAGTTAATCACGTCTGTGAGCCTAAGCATCAATTTTGGTAACAAGCTGGCAGGTGGGGTGATGACTTCTACAGACAAGAAAGCAAACAGTTAGGCAGAAAAACTCTCTTAAAGGAGACCAGTTTCTTGACACAGCGTTAGAAGGGATCCTAGAGGTCACCTACTCCAAGCCCTTGCTCAGTGCGGGAATTAGTCAACTGCAGCACCCCACTCTACTTAAAGGAGCACTTGCCTTTTTAAAAAAGATTTTAAATGTTTGAAAAAAAGCATTTACAAGAGAAATTATTGTGGGGCTGTGCCATTAAGAAAGGGGGTGGCGCCCCCCAAAAGCCCCACCGTAGCTACGGGCCTGCTCAAAATGGCTGCTACAGAAGGCAGAGCTGAATGGAGTACAACCCTCCTCACTCCTCCTGGGTAGAAGGAAAGCTTGAATGGGAAATGGAAATCACACAGTGACTAAGGAAAGCCCAAGGTGCTTACTAGTCCTGTGTGGATCCTCCAGTAGAATATGCTTTCATTTGAATGAGAGTAATGCCCCCACCCACTTTCTGAAAAGCTTCAGAGGCACCAAGGGAAGTACTGGTGGGCACCATTGTGCCCGTGGGTACCATGCTCTTTCAGAAACTTCTGCTTCCATTCTGGACCTTGGTCTTCTCTTTGCAGATACTGGGAAGGGGAAATGGAGATAGTCTTGGAGCGGGGGAGGGGACTGGCTGAGCTTTTACATCCCGAGACTTACTTAAACTCATTTCCCTGCAGGTAACAAATTGGGGAAATCACAGACCCCCCGCCTTGCCAACCGGACAAACAGGTAATTGCAAGGCCTGGATCCTCCATTACATTTTTGAGGACAACCCAAGCCTCGTATGCAACCTTTTCTAGTTAAAGTCTTCAAAAGCTGCTGTTCTATGAAGCCCCATCATGCTCTGCTGAAGTTAAGGGGGACAATGTTTCCATGACTGTGGGGCAATCACTATAAAGGCCCTGCCTCTGGATCCCAGACACTATTGAGATAAGAAACGTGGCCTGATTTAAGAATGCAGCTGGGGTGGGAGCTCATATAAGGAGTCGCTGTCTCTCTGTATCTGTGTTCTTTCTGGTGGAATGGATGGGGGGGGGGGGGGGGAGGCAGGATTGTTTGACGATGTTGTGTGCCTGCAGGTGCAAAGAAAGGTGGGTCTTGGAACTTGGGAGTGAGTATGGTTTAAGAGTGGGAGGTGGCTGCCTTGCACGAGGGTAAGTGTGGTGGGAGAAAGGATGGAAAGTAACAGCTTGGAAAACCCTGGTTCTTCTCCCTCCAGCTGCTAGAGATGTCCGTTCTTACCCCTCCGTGGCTTTTGAAGACTGTGCCAGCCACTGCTCACATGTACTGCTGTATTTTTTTTTTGGTCGTAAGGGCTGGGAACTTGCTTTAAAGAATTCTGGGGTATCCACCGCAACCCCCCCCCCCACACCGTATTCTTTACTTGACACTAGGTTCTTCAGCTGCAAACGTGTATTTGTTTCCCAGTTATGAATTATGGGGGTTTTTTTTTAAAAAAGCTTCCATTTGCTTATTTATCTAATGTAATATATTGCTCCGCAAAATCATTCCCAAAATGTCAGCAACAGTTTTGTAAATCAATTAAAATGCAAAACTTTCGTTTGAAAACAAGCCTTCCCCCCCATCTGAACACCAGAACAGTGGTACAGATCTGACTAGCTGCTGTTTGAACAACGGAGAAAGAAAATTAATTTGGAGAAGCATTCCAAATCTACAGGGCTACCACCAAGAAGTCTGTGCTTCTCATCCACAAGAGTTAGAACTTGAATCTTTACATTTAGGTGTGGATAAAGATTTTGCCCCAGTGAGGACTAAGGTGTGTATCTTTCCCCCCCTCCTCCTTCTTTTCAAGTTGTGACGACAAAGTTCCTGAACCTGATGCTCTGCCCGTCAGTGCACTGTTTGGACCTCCGCTGGAATCTGCTTTTGAAAATGAAGATTTCTCAGGTTAGAACAGGCAGTAAATTAGCCAGTCTTACAGACGTGTGGGTGATGTGGCCATCTTGTTTCTTCACAGAAGAACAAGAGGAGTAGAGACATCACCTACAGTGGCTGGTGCATCTCCTGGTCCTTGGGTTGCCAACCCCCAGGTGGCCCCCGGACATCTCCCACTATTACACCTGTGTCTTCACAGAAGAACAAGAGGAGTAGAGACATGACCTACAGTGGCTGGTGCATCTCCTGGTCCTTGGGTTGCCAACCCCCAGGTGGCCCCCGGACATCTCCCACTATTACAATGGATCTCCAGATGACCAAGCTCAGTTCCCCTGGAGAAAATGGCTGCTTTAGAGGGTGGACTCTCTGGCATTGTACCCCGCTGAGGTCCCTCCCCTCCCCAAATCCCTCCCCAGGTTCCAACCCCACCCCCAAATCCTCAGGTATTTCCCAACCCCGAGCTGGCAACCCTACCAGGCCCCCAGGGCTGTAGATCCAGGCCAGGTGTGGTAGGCGGGTGGTCATCTTAGCTGCTTTTTCCAGGCATAGAGTCAGGAGTGAAACCAACAGAAGTCCTGGGAAGCTGCATTCTGCAGGGTTAAACCACTGGTTCATCAATGCCTCTGAAACGTGGGTTTTCTCAATCTGGCCTTACTGTGAATCATCTGCCCACCAGACCCACACTGGAGTACATTAACATGTTAATTTTTCTTAAAAATTCAGCAGCAAAGCCGATTAGTATCTAAGAATGCATGCGTGTGGGCTAGATAGATTGTGAGTTTTTTATTTAAATGATAAACGTTGCTGATGGTTTGAACAATTGCTTTTTTTTACATGAGATGTCGTTCCCTATACAAGTGCAGTTCTGTCTGTCCCGAACTCTCAAGACTCCCCTTTCATCTCCCCCTGCAGCTCCCCGAGCGTACCTTCTGGCTTCTAGCCCATCCCCCTTTTCCTCCTCGTCTCCCGAGAACGTGGAAGACTCCGGATTGGACTCGCCGTCGCACCCAGCCACTGGGCCCTCCCCGGATTCCCGTCTGTGGAGCCCGCGACCCTGCACCCCCCAGAGCCCTCTCGGCAAACGGTCTTCGAAGAGCTCCTTGAGTCTTCGCGGCAGCCGCCGTGGCCTGCTGGCGGAGGACGGACCCAACCCCTGGCTGCCCCAACCCGCCTCCCAGGATCTCCCCTGCTTCGCGTCAGATCCCGACTGGGCAGATTCCGTATCTTCATGGCCCGTGGTGGCCCACAGCAATTCCACCTGCCAGCGGGAAGCGTCCTCCCCCGACCCGTTCTCCTTGGAGGGTGCCGTCGGCAACCGGCGGCCCTGGCCAATCAGGCCTCGCAGCCCGGCCTCGGGACCCTGCACCCCCCAGAGCCCTCTCGGCAAACGGTCTTCGAAGAGCTCCTTGAGTCTTCGCGGCAGCCGCCGTGGCCTGCTGGCTGAGGACGGACCCAACCCCTGGCTGCCCCAACCCACCTCCCAGGATCTCCCCTGCTTCGCGTCAGATCCCGACTGGGCAGATTCCGTATCTTCATGGCCCGTGGTGGCCCACAGCAATTCCACCTGCCAGCGGGAAGCGTCCTCCCCTGACCCGTTCTCCTTGGAGGGTGCCGTCGGCAACCGGCGGCCCTGGCCAATCAGGCCTCGCAGCCCGGCCTCGGACTGCCCCCCACGGGCCTGCGAGCGTGACAGCTGCCTGTCGTCCAATTCGGCCTCCTCATCGTCCTCCTCCCCAGCGCCCCCCAGCAGCGGTGACTCCACCAGCCCCTCCCCGTGGGCCCCACGGTGCCGAGACTCAGAAAGTGGGACACCAGGTATCCCTGAAGTGTCGTCTGAACCGAGTAAGGACAATTAGGATGTGTTGTTTTTAAATTATGTGGATGTTGGGGGTCTAAATAAATTTTAAAAAATGGTAGCTATGGGAGGGAGAAGGGTAAAGGGGGGATCTGTATGTGCAGGGAGAAGGTGGGTGGCCCAAGGGAGCTAGCCCCCCCCCTCCCCCCAACTATCACATCTCCTTTCAGGCCACTTGTGAAATGCTAGAAGAAGCACAAACTTTCCCTCATTTTATTTTATTTCTTTACAATGTGAATATCCCGCCTTTCTGCCCATTCAAGGCCACCAAGTCGATCCAGTTAAAAAACAGAGCTAGAAATACTTATATAAAACACAAAATGCATTAAGTTGGGTCAGGCTGATAGTGTCACTTTCCAGATTCTTTTTCTGAACCCCCCCCACACACACACTGGGAGATCTCGGTTTTCAGATTCTTTCCCACACCAGAAGTCCTGAGAGGCTAAAGGTCCTATTAGGGACTGCGGTGTCAAATAGATGAACCGGCCTAGTAAGCGTTACATTGATTAAAAGAGTGTGAACAATTGACTGGGCAGCAGATTTTATCTCTCTTTTTAAAATCCAAGTATTTAAAAACCCACAGGCAGCAGGGACCATCTCAGAAGGACGTCTCCTCCCCTCCCATGTGAGAAGCGGGAGTGCCTCTTCCATAGGTAGCCGTTGCTTTCTTAGAAGAAGCACTCCTTATTTTCTCATGCTCAGGAGGGAATACCTCTTCTGACACTGTTTTTGCGAACAAGGCAAGAAGACCTTCCCTATAGAAGGCGGACACCATCTTAGAAGAGCCATTCCTCCTCGTCTCTCAGGCAGGAGGGAATGCCTCTTCTGAAATGCTGCTCTCTGTGGCACATACATATTTCAGCTCCTGCTGCTCCAGACTTGAAAGACAGCATGAGCCACAGTTGGGACGTAGTTACAGGGAAACTCAAAAGGGGAGCCCAGCTTCCTGTTTTGTTTTGTTGGTTTTGTTTTCTAATCCTTCAAGCAAACCTGATCTTCTTCAGGTGCCATGGTTCTAAACCACTGCCTCTTGTTTGACTTGTAGCATCCTTTCCTCCATCGGCCACACCCAGTTTGGCCACAGTGATGGCCCCGCCCCGGCGATGCCGAGTGAAAAGGCCTTCGGCAGTTTCAGCCGCCTGTGTCGGCAGTGACATGGTGAGTGGTGGTTTTGTGGTAGCTGTGGACGGTTCTGAGCTGAGGAAGCCTAAAGGGAGCAAATGAGATCTGGGAGAATTTGCTGTGGTTTGGTGGAGTTTTAGAGGATGCGGGCTCAGGTCAGGGGAGAGAATAAGGGCCCATCCCCTTGCTGCAACTCTTGATTACCCCAGTCTGTCCATTGGCTTGCATTTTAAATTCATCCGTCTGGTACAGAAGTCCCCAACCTTTTTGAGCCTCTGGGCACATTTGGAATTCTGACACGGCATGATGGGTACAACAACAAAATGGCTGCCACAAAATGGCTGCCGCAGGAGGCAGAGCCAGCCACAGAATGGTTGCCACAGCTTAACTTCAGTAATGCAGTGTAGACCCTTGTGCTGTGGTGGCAGCTGCCGCCCAAGCAACGTTTTTAAAAATCTGCACAGCCAATCAAATCTCCAAGTCAGTCAC